GTTTTCAAAGACCAACCATCAGTTGCTAATAAAAATGAATTATTTTTGGGTCATTTATTTATTTGAGTTGTTTTGTTTGATCTATTGAAGTAAATATATCTATTGTCTTTATGTACATATTCGGCGATTACTGTAATAATAGTATTCAAAACTACACAATTAAGAATAAAATTAATTTATATAATTGACAAATTGTACAGACGAAAAAAAAAAAAATTATCTGCCACGCAATATAGAAAGGTATTGTACAAGCAAATCCTTTTGGTTTACTGCTGTTCAAAGCGTTCTACTCAAATAGCTCTATCTTACTTCCCAGAAAATAATATTGCAATGTAATGATCCTTTTTATTTCGTTGCCTGGGAATCGAAAATACAAGCGATGAGCCGGTCAATAATATTGACGTACATCTTACTATACTTTCATTCATTTTTTTTTTTTTTACCGTTAGACTATTTAGCATTAAGATAGATTAGAATTAAATATTCCCTGTATGAGAGGCAACCGTTTACTTATGAGAGAAAAATGCACTTCTTTAACCGGATTTAACTCTAAGTCGAAAATGTACAAATCACTAACGGGTCCAGGATTTAATTTTTGGGAGGGAGGGACTTCAGCCCGAAATATATATTTTTTTGTATGTACATACTAGGGTAATTACTTCGGAAGAAAGAAACTAACTACCTATATGAAATGGTGATTCTTTAAGTCTTATTAAATGTAATTAAACGAACAAGAATAATTTAAGAGGTAGTTTTTAATATTTTTTTCGAACAACAATATTTTTTGTGATAATTTTTTTTTCATCAAAACATGGTTATATTTTACCATTTACTTTTTTCAAAATTACAAAACACCTACTTCTAAATAGCGTGAATCATGGCTGTCACTCCCGGGTATTTATAAATTGTTTTGTTCAACAAATATGTCCATGTTATTTTTTTTATTTTAAAATTTAGCTCTGCATTTTTAAAAACAATAACTTAATAACTTAAATTTTCGTCTTCATAAATAACTTCATTTCATTTTCATTTAGAAATGTAATGTTATAACACGAAAACGGTTTTCGTTTCTTTCTTTTTTTTTTTTTTTTTAATCTATTTATAACGAAGAATGATATTCATTAATAAAAATTATTTAAGAGTGTAATGAATTCAATTAACGTTAGATAAGGAAATATGTTTTTTCAATATTTAAAATAAAATAATTTTTTCGTGCATTTAAACGAGGTATTAATTTAATAAATTAACAGGAAACTGACAAGTAAATTGGTAAACTAGGTATACTAGCAGTGAAAATAAAAATTATCATCATCGAATTTATGATAGAAGAATTTCAAAAATGTATTACTTATATTATATATTTTATTAATTACAATTTTCGAATTCGATTTTCATGATGTGAGAGAATTTAACCCACCTCCCCCCTCAAAAAACTAAAAAACCAAAAAACAGTTAAAATAATTCTGGATAAACTTTTTTTTTAATGAAATTTCTTTACGAAAACTGTTAATAAAACAAATTCAATAAAAAAAAAAAAAAAAATTGATTTGGCTGATATTGTAATTTTCTTCATCAAATTATTAATGAATGAGCAGAAGATGTAATATTCATTATTTAGCAATTTTAGCTATTTGTACCTACTTAGCGGTCTAGATAATAGTTATTAGTCCGAACAAAAAATAAAATAATATAATATTAATATATATTCCTTACTTAATTTATAACTATTAAATTGTAAAATCGTATTATTCAATGGAAACATCTTCTTAACGAAAATAATATGTATAAAAATAGCTGCTTCGAGCAATAGAAATAAAAATAAAGAAATGAATCATGTTCCATTTTAAAGCTATTGGGTAATTTTCCGATCTAGGTGTGTCATTTATAAACCAAACGTTACATTGCCAATTTAACAGCCGTTCGTAGTTGTGCTACCAGGTCAATGCTAAAGGAGTCAGCATTCATTTTAGTAAAAACTTCAAATTAGGTTAATAACCAAAACGTATTTTTCTACTTTTGATGATTCAGCAGAGCTATGAATGGAAGTATAATAACATAATTTTTATTCTCTAATTGTACAAACTGGAACTTATAATAAGATGTTTGTTCAGATGGGTTGATACGGTCTCTATTCGACGAAAAATTGCAAAAAATAAGAATAGAAGAACTTTTTATTATACATATATATATATATATATTATATATATATATATATATATATATATATATATATATATATATATATATATATATATATATATAAAATTAATAGACTCATAGAACAAAACATTAGCTTCCAGGACTGTAAGTGGGGGAGGGGAGCCAATTCCCTCCTCGCCTCCCCCTCCGGCCCTCTTGAGGAGTCTAGTTTTATTTTTTTATAATTTATTTTTCTTAATTTAATGATAATTTTACGGCAAAAGCATTACATGTACATTTTTTTTTTAATCAGACAAGAACGTTATTATTACAAACCATTTCTTATTTTTTATTTCAGCGGGGCCTTAAATAGTAATCCATACCGAATTCCAAATGGTTTATGTACCCCATTGTTAAAATTTAGAATTAGGCATACTGACATATTAAAACCAATAAGTTTTTGATTGAGTCATTTAGAAAAAAAATATTAGAACAAATACTAGAGTATTCATTCAGGTCAAGTAACTTTATATGTATTGATTTATATTTTCTCTACTGTTAAATGATATGTATATTCTAAGGAGACCTTGAGGTTCATTCAATAAATATACAGCAATATATATATATATATATATATATATATATATATATATATATATATATATTTATATACACTTATATATAACTAGTGTACTTCAGAGGAAAAATATGATTAATAGAAAATTTTATCAGAAATAAAATGAAATAAAATTTTTTCAATAATAAAATGACTAATAATTAAAACATACTTATATACAATCAGAATGTATTTTGATTGTTAGTCTTTTTAGTATTTAAAATTTATTTTCTGGATATGATGAATTGCCTCATCTTAAAAATACCACCGAATTAGTTTTTTACTCCAGCACAAATCTGAGGAATGGTTGTGGATTATTGTTTTAACGATCGATTCTGCAGATCGCCATGGGGACGTTATAACGATTTTTATTTTTAAAAATATGCAGATATTAAAATGTAAGGCAAAAATTGAAATTTCTAAAAAGAGAATAGGATTATGAAACTGAACTTATTTATTTCATGGAGTCAGCCATATTGATTGCATGGTGGCTAACGCCACAACGCTAATCTTTCTTGAGGGTGACTTTGCGGCGTGATATTATAATTTAACTCTTATCAATCCTTACACACCCTTGCCAATAAATTAGTAGTAAATGAGATAACATTCCTTTATTTAGTTATATACTTCATTAATATTTGAAATTATTAAAAAAATGTATTTAATCTAATAATTTAGTTTCTCGAATACATTAATATGTATTCATTTATACTACCGTAACAGTTTTTGGGGCACATTAAACAGATTATGATATATATTAAAGTGAGCGAAAAATGAGATAAGTAGAAATTATTGTGAGTTATTCTTGGATGTTTAAAAAATACAATTTGATAGTAACAAAACCGTAATATTTTTTTTTAATATAGAGATATGTTGAAATATAGCTATCCATCAATGGATATAAGATTTTTTTAAAAAAATGCATTAAGGAATATCACTAATGAAATAAAAAATATATATTCACTCAATCACTAGTTTATCTAATTCGAAATTTGTACTTGCGGGCGTCACATTGACGTCATATGTTGCGCGAAGTCAGATGTTTAAAACGCTAAAATTAGTCGATGGTCTGTTTTGTAAGAAATGTTTATAACAGTGTCTATTTTATCCTTAGTTTATTTACATGCACTAAGAAAAGTGCTTTTGTAAGAACTTTTTCAATTCAATGTATCAATATTTACATTATATATGTTAGGATACAAGTATTCAACAATTTATGAAATAAAAAAAATCAGTAATTAGTAAACTCTGTACGTGATGTTGAATGTATTAAAACCAAAATTTGTAATTATACATTTCAAAAAAATCAGATTCGATAATTAGTTGATGCTGGTATATTTCGCTATGTTGAAATAAGTGATATTGCCTATACTGTATTATTCAATAAAATATTTAGCATTTTTGTAGTGGTATGTCTTTCAATTAGTACGAACAATAAAGCCACATGAAAAGGTAAAAAAAAAAAAAAAAATACAATATTTTAAATCATAAAGCACATAATATGTTATAAATCGCTTTCGTCATTCACATTTAACAAATGAGACTGTCATTTTAGTTTTCAATTAGTTAATCATGTCAATATTAGTTTGGCATAATGCTTGTATATATTGTCATTGATGGGATGAATAATTCAAGAATTTATGTATATATTATAATACTTATGAAAATAAAGCTGTTCCACATTCTCCATCAGAAAATATCTCATTAATATGCACACTTATTGTTATAGTACATTTTTTTCTTTCATTTGTTATGGAATGACATTTACAGCTCTGTGTGGCCTGATTTTTAATGTTTAAAATTTTCCTTTTGATGCAATTAGTCTTATGGACTGATAAAAAAAAAAGTAAGAAAACAAAAATAATATGATATAAAAATTAGAAAAGTTGTGCAGTTGAGGATTTTTTTACAACTTTTGCGTTAAACACTGCCTTAGTCGATACTCTGAATGGAGGAATGCTTTTTTATACTTTTTTAAAATGTGGAATGTTTTTGCGAAAATGCACAAATGAGCCGTCACATTTCCTTTGAATTATTCATAGTACGTGTTGGCAACTGACAATTCAAACTTTATACATGAAGTTCTTTGTCCGAATGTGAATACCCAAAAATATTATGTTGGAATAGTGGCTGTTGAAGAGGCGTTTGCTTTTTTGGGGGGAGGGGTAGCGTACTTTGGGGGTGCCTAGAGTTAGTGGTATTAGGGCCCTTGGTGGAGCAGTTAAGGGTCTCTCCTCTCCCTTACCGTCACTGAGTAGGAAGTGATGGTCGGGCGGCTGTATGGCCTCCTCACCGTGTAGAAATCAGATTCGTATACCATCTTCGTTCGCTGTGGGCACTCGGCTTGCGGCTAGCAACTGGCAACGCCTCGCCCGACGCCGTTATTTTAAGATCGGCTTCAGACAAACCACGCCCAGAAGGGACCACTCCTCACCTCCATTGACCAGATCCCCATTGGGATCTCATAAATAAACCATTGCCAACGACAGCCCTGTCATAACTGTCCAGATGGACCTTGTCCGCAAGAGTATTATCTATCGTAGATAGCCGCGTACCTCCAAGGTGGACCTATCTGCTTTCGTTTATCGATTCTTCTTTTTAAAGCCTATAAAGGGTCTCTATCACTGAGAAAGATGAGGACCTTCTTGAAAAAGAAGTCGATAACGTTGAGTAAGAACAATCCGCGGTACTGAACCCTTCTTATCGAACTATTCCGCCTAAACCTTTCCCTTCATCTTATCGCAATCTACAACTTGTACTTTTACTTACCTATATATATAGTAAGGGTAAGTATTGCGTTCATGAACAATTCCGAATCAGAGTTTTCAACGGAAATACACGTTTTGAGTCCAAATAACCTAGTCTCGCAAAATGGTCTGTGTGTATGTTATCAGTTTAGCTCAAAAACGAAAAGTCGTATGAAAGTGAAATTTCATATTTAAGGTTTTTATAAGCATTTGATGTTACAGCAACATTTTAATCAAAATCGCCACACCGGAAATGGTACTTTACATAACCGATTTAACAAATTTTTACGATTTTCTCAAAGATGGCTCTAACGATTTTGATTACAATCAGTACATCAGTGTATTATTAAGCATTCTTTAATATAATATAGGTTTTATTTTCATTGATGTTCTCTATTAGAGCTTAAATGGCTAATTTTCAATATTGGCTTCTAAAGTACCTTTATTTTTTTTTTTATTTGAAATAATTAACTATTTCAAATTAATCTTTCATATAAAAGATAGTTAATATGAAAGAATTTGATAATTAACAAAAGGAAAAATGAGAGCGTAACGGATAATAGTTGTAATAGAGGAATAAAAAAAAATGTTTAAGGTGGTTTAGTTTTTCCTGCTTTTTAATTTATTGTATTATTAATTATCTATATAATCAATCCCCTCTTTTTAGTTTTTATTGGTTATATTATTGATTAGTTTTATCCTCGCTCTACTTAGTAATTCCCTGTTTCAAAGTTTCTCTCTCGGTCTTTCTTCGTTCACCTTTCTAATATATTTTTTGACGTTTACTTCAATTTATTTAATATTCATAACTTACTGATGTTAGTATCATATTAAATTACTCATTTCATAACAATATTGCTTTTACATTACCTATTGTTATACATATTTTTTAGACTTAAAAAAAATCATAGTTGTTGTAATTTTCTTTGAATTTACAAATAGACAAGATAATCATTTTTCTTGATGTGTTAGTTAAAAAATGCTTTAATATATACATAACTTTTTCATTATGTTATAATTTTTTTTAAATTTTGTTTTGGTGCATCCAAGACCTCCATTTTTTTTTTAAATCTTATTTATTGATAAATATTACAATCTGTCTCAAGGACATTTATAATAGTGTTCACAGATCACATTCACACTCTATGTACAGTAAATAAAATAAATATTAATGTATTTTAGGAATCTATGTTGTATTTTTTACATAAAACAGCTTAAAGATTGTAGGGTATTCCTGTCCAGAACCGCTATGTTTTTTAAGAGAAGCTTTACGGTTTTGAATATCGGGGTATTTCATCAGATAGTTACGATAATGACTAGGTAAAAAATAATATTTGCTGTATTTATGGATAACGCGTTATCCCCTCAACATGGTTCTCGATGTTTTTGTATTTAGATGCATTTCTCATTATTCTGAACTTTAATTTGCGTGAAGCAGCGATTTAATCGACCATGGTCAACGAATACCGTAATAGGAAAACCGTATCAGCAGAGAAATATAATATTGCAAGAGGTAAGCGATCTTCACCTTTCGATCTTGATTTCCTGGGATATCTTTTATATATTTTTTTTCTCGATTATCCCCCTGATGGCGACTCACAGTATCTTTCGACACACCACACTTCCTGGCGGGTTCGAGAATACTTGTGGGTGGTTTTGACTCAACAGGTTCCTGCAGAACCTCATCAATATCCATTAATGGTCGCCCGGAGCCCTTCTTCCTTTCCAACGTTGTATCACCACTGCTATTTTTTTTTTCAAACCAATGCCGCTCAGTGCGCTGGTCAAGGACACTTCCATATTTAATAATTTCATGAGTTGCTTCACCGGCTATGAATTATTTTTTCCAGTAAAACTTAAAATTACGAGAATTTTGTAGGACACTGTCATATTTCTTATTTGAAACAAATAACTAAAATGAGGCTTTTTTTGAAGAGGGCGAATGGGATAAAATTTATCTTCAAAAGTAATTATCATTCAGCTAGTAGCCCTTATGGTAAAGACAGCTTCTGTTCCTTTTAAAAAACAAGAGAAGGTGCATGTATCGATGAGGTTAATAAATTGATGTATCGAGTGGCCTATAAAGAACTGATTCGAAAAGTTCAGTTACAGCTCATATAATTCAGCACTGTAGAGGCTAAATTTTATACGGAGGCTAACGGATGTATTTTTACGATATTGAAATACCAGATTGAAACTTTGTGTTTTAGATATATAGATAGAAAAAAAAACTTTATTCTGGGACTAAGTCCCTTCAGAATAACAATAATGTACAAAATAATAGAATATTACTGGCCTATACGTTTGAAACAATAATAAAATTGATAAAATAAAATAAAAGTAACGAAAACCTTAGGTGCACAAGCTATATACAATACAGATAAAACTATGTACAGAGCATTTAAAATTATGAACAAAACAATTAAAACTATGAACGAATCACTTGAATATGAACAAAATTATATATAAGGGTTGAACAACATACACATACACTTTGAGAAATGAAGAACAAAAAAAAGATACAGTGAGTTCATTTCATAAAATAAAATATAAAAAACTTTACTTGAATATATATATAAAATAAACAGTTAATTATAATTGAATAAAAAAAAAAATGTATGTATTGAAATTCCTACGTCGATAGTAGGAAATGCATGTACTATCTCTTAACAAGTATTATGATTATATGATTGCTACACAATACATATATAATATTAATAGTTAGCTGGTATCTGACTGTTTTTGGAACAGGAATTGGAATAGGAGGTTTTTGAATGTGTATAGGGAAGGGGCATGTCGAATTTGGTCGGGAGGGAATTCCAAAAGTTGACAGAGCGGGCTATAAAGGAGTTTTGGAATGAGGCAGATCTATGAGAAGGGATGTATAGGTCAGAGGGTCGGGATCTTGTAGTGAGGGAATGGATTGAGGACTTGAATTGAGAAGGTTGTAGGCATAAGAAGGACGATGATCGGTAATGATTTGATAAAGGAAAGTGCCTAGGAAATATTGTCTTCTTAAGGAGGGGAAGAGCCACCCTAACTCAGTGTAGTGGTGGGAGACGCGGGAGCGTCTCGGTGTACCAATTACAAATCTTACGAAGCTATTCATAAGTCTTTTGAGTCTATCACGGAGTTCCACCGAGAGGCCATCGTACAACACACAGCTGTAGTCAAAGTGAGGAAAGATGAGAGAGGATTTTGATTCCTCAGTTTAAATTTTATGATGATATTTGGCCTTTTCAGCAAATATTTCTAGCGTTTTTTGATTTAGAACTGATGGTGGGTAGTCTGGATGATATATTTTAGGGTTGGTCTTTATAAAATATTTGTGACTTGGGAATGTGGGTGAATGGAAGGGGGGGGGGGGGGGTTCCGGCAGAGGCGGCAAGCGAACTAAATAAGTGTCCGTATCTTGAGCTGTGATTCTTGCTTTTGGAATGTATGATATGTTTACTGTTAGGTATTCCTCTATTTCGCATTTGCAATATTTCAAAGAAATTTAATGCATTGAGTTCAATTCACTTTCGGGGTACTTATCGTGATCCTGAAAGAGAAAGACAAATTTTTTATATATTTAAAAATTTAATATAAAATGATTTTACGAATGATTCAAATGTCTCATGCTTACAATCAAACAGATTTTATAGCTAATGGATATTAAACATATCAGTACACCTTATGAAATATATACAACAAACATTATTTTATCTTGAGGCGGCTGGAAAAAAGTAAAAAATCTTTAAGTTTTTATTTTTCATCTCGATATATGCGACATATTTCTACTTTCATTTACCCATTTATGAAATACATAGTAAAGGAAAGCATTGCGATTGTGAAATATTTTGAATCCGTGTCTTAAAACGAAAATACACGTTTTAAGTTCACCAAAAATAAACAAGTCTCGAAAAATGCTTTGTGTATAATTCTCTAATTTTTTTACTTTCATATCCCTATATATGAAAATAAATATTTCTATCCTAAGTAGGGTGGTAAAGTAATTTTGTGTAGGAGAACAAATAAGTTCTTGCTTGGAGGTGAAGTGGGTCCCGTAAGTTATCGTAAAAAAAGTTAATAATTTCTTATAGATAAAAGGGATTCTTAATAAAAGGGATATAGAATGCTAATAAATGAATGAAAGAAATAGTAAAAAATAAACAATAAAGAAAAAAAAATATATAAAAAAAAATATACATATATAATATATATATATATATATATATATATATATATATATATATATATATATATATACATATATAAAAAATATTGTATACTATGCTCATACATGTTAATATATATAATTGCTTATTAGTTTTAGAAAATTGTCTGTAGCGATTAATAAGTATGCTGTGTTTGAAGCAACCCAATGTAATTGGGCAGCACCCTTTTATGATAATAAAGTGATTCTCTCTATTTGTTAACATATACCATAATAAACACTTTAAATTATATGTATTATATAAGAAATACATGGTTAGTTGTGAAAACTATACTGAGCCGTTGACGACCTCGATGTTTTACGCCTAAATAAACCCCAAAACAACAACAAACAACACGGTCAGTTGTGTATAAAATTGTTTGATAAAATCTAAACGTGTTTGAGAATTATTTTTAATAATTTTAATAGAACTATTTTTTTTTGTAAATTTAGTGTGAATGTGATCCTACGTAACTTTAACTAATGTCCAAGTGACAGAATGTTGTAATATTCAATAAATAAATATTTTATTTGATTAATTGTTAACTTGAGAACTAATTAATTTGAGAACTAGAGAAAGCTTCGATTTTTTTCTAGTCATAAATAAAAACATAGTCATAAATTATTTTAGATAGCTGGAAACCAATTTTGAAGTACAAAATCATTCCACTATTAATGAAAAAATTAATAAATTTTTAGCGTTCAATTTGATTTTTAGTGGATTTTGGCTGTATTCGATATGTTTTTCCAGATAACCATTTCTAAATTTAGGTTACCATCCAGCGAGGTGTGCTTCTGGTCAGGGTGTGTTATTTATAGAGTGCAAGATGAATACCCTAGATGATACCCAATACTTGAACCTCCTCCACCTAATATGACCCTCACTCCCATTTCATTTAAATAACTTATTTTATGATTAAATATACCATGAAAGCTGAAATGCAAATATGGTATTTCTTTGAACTTCTTGTGTTATTCATGTCATATAAAATAAAATAAAATCTATAAAAAATTATTAAAATTTACAATGGTATTTGTTAATTACTATAATACAATATTATTTAAGCGAATATACTTTGAAGCAGTAATATTCAGTTCAATTTTTATTCAAAGAAAGCGCTCCCTATTTTTTTTTAACATAAAAATATTTTTTACCATTATTATATCTATACCTTGAAACAAAATGGGTCAATATACAAAAAAAAAAGTGTAATTTGAATGAACTTTTCAAGATAAAATAAATTAAGTGTAGGATATAGTTCAGATTAATTGTTTATTTTTTATTATTGTGTCACTGTGTATGTGAATCGTTTATTTCGAAAAGAAGTCGTACGAAACTGAAATTACGTATTTTTTTTATTTAATGAAATTTACAACTGTATACAAATACAACTAGTAAATATGCACAAATTATAAATAATGGCATGTACAGGCTTGAAGAGATACTACCCAGTGGTAGCACTCTCTAAATAATTTTAAGTAAGAAGATCACAAGGCCATCTCCTTTTCAGACGCCTAGCAGGGTTATCAGGGATCGAGGAAGAAGCAAGAGTGGAAACAAGCGGATTTGGATGGGACTGAAGTTTATCATGAAACGATAGATATCTGGCTCGAGCTAAATCAGCGACATATGGTACATTAAGGTCTTTATGAATGGTTTTATTTGTGACAAAGTATGGAGCATTAAGGATTTTACGGAGGATTTTGGATTGTAACGATTGGATACGATAGGAATTCGATGGTTTGTTGGAGCCCCAAAGCTCAACTCCGTATGTCCATATAGGTCTTATTATAGTTATGTAGATAAGTCTTTTGTGATTAATTGAAAGTTTGGAGCGTTTGTCTAGTAAGTGTTGGAGCAGTTGGCACCTAAGTCCTTTCGGTTTTCTGTTTATTTTTATGTCACTATGATACACTTCTTATCTGATGAATTAATCCCTAAGATGGATTGTTTATCTTGTTTGTGATATGTCAACAACTATATATTTTAACTTTTGTTGAAACTAGTTTAGTATATTATTTCCTATTGCACTATGAATATGGAAGAAAATATCATTTATTATCGGCATATTTTGTTGTATTATTTTAAAAAAGGTAAGTGTTCTGCAGAAGCTCATAGAAAAATTTGCAGTGTTTATGGGGATGATGCCTTAACCGAACGCACCTGTCATAATTGGTTTGCCAAATTCATTGAGGAAATTTTGACGTCAATGATGCTCAAATGGTCTGCTCGCCCACATGAACAATGTTAAGGCCACTGTTGATCAAAATTCCACCCGATCAGTGCTAGAGATTGCTATGGTCCTAAATGTTATACAGGCTCTGATGGAATTTGGAAATTTTTTCAGGGATAAGGTCAAGGACAAATGGGATATTAAGATCATGAGGTAGGGTTTTGTTGGTTAAATAGAACATCAAAGCGTCAAATATTGTTCGGCGGATTTTGGACTGAAAGGATTGGATGCGTTTGATGATAAAAAATTTTGCTGTCCCCAAAGTTCAAGTCCATAGGTCCTTCAGGTTGTCAAGGTTTCAGGAGTTTCTTGTAGATCAGTAATTTGTTGCCAATTGAAAGTTGAGATTTTCTATTCAATAGTCTGTATAATTGGCCGTATCGTCTGTTAAGTTCTTGTTCTTTTATTAAGTCTAGTATGTGGGTTTCACGTTGGTCTTCGGTCTAAGAGAAAGCCAAGATACCGGATTGTGTCTGAAAAAGGAAGCTGGATGGAATTAAAGTGGACTGGAGGACAGAATCTGCGCCGGAGCGTGAAGGTAATGTGTCTGCATTTGGATTCGTAATATGACATACTAAAGAAAAACTATAAGTAAATTTATAGAAAAAGTAATAGACCTTAATTTCTTAATAATATAGTATTATTTCCTTAAATTCAATTGCTTCAATGTTACTTATTATCTTTTACGTTTTATCAATTATATTAACTCTTATTCTATTAAACTGTTGTATTTAATTAAAATATATTAAATATTTTTTTATTAAACGATTTTTTAAAATATTTCTTAACGATATTTACAACTGTATTAAAGAAATACATTTAGTAAATTTGAACATATGGATATAATGACGTAAAAACACTTGTTGAGAAACTACCCAATGGTAGCACTCTAATAATATGTCTATATTAGAAGATCACGTGGCCGTCTTTTTTTCAGACGCCTCGGAGGGTAATCAGGAATTGAAGAGGAAGTAAGGTTAGAAACGAGAGGGTTGGGATGATCCTGATGTTTATTATGGAAGGGTAAGTATCTGGATTGGGCTAGATCTGAAACATGAGAAACATTAAGGTCATTATGGATGATTTTATTTTTAACAAAGTAGGGAGCATTGAGGATTTTGGATTGTAAGGATTGGATATGAGAGGAATTAGATGGTTTAGTGGAGCCTCCGTAAGACTAAATAGGCCTTATTATATTCAGGTATACGAGTCTTTTGTAATCAATTGGAAGTTTAGAGCGTTTGTCTACTAAGTGCTGAAGTAATCGGAAACGTCGAGCGGTTTCTTGTCGTGTCAGTCTGTTATGAGGATTCCAAGTTAGACGCTTGTCCAGGTGAAGTCCTAGGATAATATGGTTTAATAAAAAACAACGTTTTTACAAAAACAATTTACTGATTTATTAAAAAATATTTTTTTTATCAAGCGATATATCGGTTGCTAAAAATGTTTTCACCGGCTGATATATTGTTTTCATTAAAAAAAAAAAAAAAAAAAAAACGTAAGTTGTTTATTTCTAATAATGTATATCCAATAATAATTATACATTTGTATCCTAAGACAATATATAAATAGAAATAAAGACAAAAACGAATATTATATATTTTACAAACACGTGAATAATTATATTCAAATATTAATAACTTGGTGGGAAAGTGGGCCAAGGTGGGACCAAATTTTTGGGATTCACATTCAAATAATATCTTATTACAATTTTTCAGTGCCCTTATATCAATGAAATTCAATCAAGTTTTGTAATTGTTGAATTTCTGAAAATGTATAAAAATGAAAAATTTAAATCCGAAAATAAATTAGCTAATGAGACTAGTTATCCGGATTTCATTAGTTTTTGTTTAAAAACATTCTGAATAATATTTTTATGATATAATTTTTAAAATTAAAGATAAATAGTATTATAATTTATTAGCAAAATATTTTAAAACATCTAATTTTGTGCCATACGAACTAAAGTTCCCAACTCTTGTAAATATTTAATAAACTACTATTAAAACCATTTGGAATCGCTTGAAAACTTACTATAATATATAGTTCAAAGCCAAAAGAACGTGCGAGTACACATTTTAAAGTGATATAGATATATCGAATCTTTGTCAATGTCGCGAGTTTTTTCTGACTTGTCAAACTGTTTGTTGTTTGGCAATGCTTCATAGAATCTCCGACACCTGAAAATTCTGTACATGACGTCATTTTTTTTTTTACTAGTACGAAAATCTAATCTCACTATTACCAACGTACTTAATAGTGACAAAATGATTACTATAAAAAGAGAAGAATGTCACACAGGGTTGACATATTAACATATTACTACAGAATGGTTCATGTAATTTTGATATAACTTTAATTAGTGCATAAGCTTTTTAAATTTGGAGCGGAATCAACCTATCCACGTGTTAACATAACACATGTAATAACACACCTGAAATGGTTATATTTTTCTTTGTTTTTTCACATGTTTATTTCAATGTAATAAAAAGAAAATAAATACGGGATTATGACAATTGATTGAATAAAAAATGTAAGCCAAAAAAATAATTAAATAAAACTTAACTAAACTTAGCTAAATCGTCAAATGGGCTTAAAAAAAATGTGATGAGCATATAAAAAATATTTTTATTTTTCTTATTCAAGGGATACATACACATTTACATTATAGCCAATCACCTATTATCTAGGCAACAATATAATTCAATTTTATTTTTGCATTACCAATCCAATCCTTCTTTTGCCATTGCATAAGTTTTACTGTGCTGAGTATAAAACTGCTGGTACCAGCGCCGGAACCTAGCGATGGATTTGTCCTCCCGTGTGTATATTGGCTGGTCGAAGAAGACTTTGTTGTTCCAAATCATAATATCCCTTTCAAACTAAAACAATATTTGTAATATTAATGTATTTAAAATTAAAAAAAAAAATAGTACTTAATAATAAGGCTAAGGAGATTTTAATAGTAATATTTGTGTGGTCCTGAGTTGGCCCTATATCGTGATAAAAAAAAAAAATAAAAATAATAATAGTATTCAACAAAGGTAATAAACTATTATTAGATCCCTGGTTCAAAACAGTATCAACTCAGAAATTGAGATTTTAGTTAGATCATCTATTTGAAACCTACAGATTATTAACAATAATTAATTAATATTAATAGATTAATAGATAGATAATATATTTTAATCTATTAATATATTTTAATTAAAGTGGTTAATAAAGTTTTGATCCTAGATATTTTTTCCTCTTGTATAGTTTGCAAGAGGAGTTTATTTGCAAATTGTACATATTCCCTGATTTTATATATATATATAAAATCCTTCCATCTATTGGCTGTGAATAAGTTTCCGCCGTTTTTTACCTATAGAATCTTTTTTTTACGTGCATATAGCTTCACTGAAACCAACTTTATTCATGAGCTGGTCCTCTTTATTTGGGCTATCAGTCTGTTTTTTTTAAAACTTATTTATTGAAAAATATTACAGTCTGTCTCTAGGACATTTATAATAGAGTTCACAGATCACATTCACACTCAATGTGAATAAAATAAATAAATAAATAAAATAAATTATACAGAAAAATAATATATATACAATAAACAAGAATAAAATAACCTAAAAATAAATAAATAAAAAGAACACATACACACCTATATACAATATTTACAATTTGGCGAGAGAACTCCAAACCAGACTTGTCCCTCCAACTCTGCAGGGAAAAGTATGACTCCAGGAGTTCCCTGCACTCCTCTCTCAACCGCGTCACTAGGGCTAAACCCAGTGGAGATTGAGCAAGAGTGCTTTAGCCACATACACTCATGTCGTGAGTGGAGAATCTGGCCATAAAGTCTGGTTTAAATCTTATAAGTGTACAACGTTGTTCATAAAAGTCGAAAATTTGAAATGATTAAAAAAGTTCACCTTTTTTTTCTGTTTTTTCGTTTATATCAGTGCAACTATGCGTTCTAGCGATAATTATACCCTATGTAAAATTAAATCTGATAACGTTTGCAACATAAATGAGTATATTTATTTTTTGGATATCCACTATAACTTCACATTATTCACTAACTTCGAAAAAAAATTGTTTTTTGCTCCTTTTTTATGATTTGACTTACTAAGTCTTTATTTTTTCATAATTATATATGATTTATTGTAGTTGTTTATACCTTTTTTCTTATTTATTACAAGAAATTATCTCTTAATTTTAGATTTATTCTTATTAAAATCAAACCTATGTTCGAATTATTTTTTTGAAATGAAAAATAATTAAGCACCGACATAGTTGCATATATTCCGAAACATGCAAAATATAAGCGGGTTTAACTGCGTCTAAATGCAAAAGACTGGAATAGATATTTGGAGAGCTGCAGCCATCAAACTAAAACGGTCTCTGACGATAAGATCGATAAGGTTCTTCTACTTCACTGAAGACCAGCCTCTATATTTAGCACTAACATCATTTCTGCATACATTACAATGCACAGTTGTGCCAAGTTTGTTTTATTGGCAAATAAGCATCTAGCACCAATGGCGAAAACAAATATTCAACAAATATAAGTCATGTAGTATCAGTAAGCAGTAGAGTTGTAATACATTGAATCAAGATGCGATTTGAAGAGTATATTATATTTTGAACTGTGTTAGAATGGTACATTTCTATGTACCTTTGTTTGGCTAATCTTTTAGAGTCAGTTAATGTGAGATGTGAAGCTACTGGTATGTATTTATATTTTTATATGCTTGGAAACTAAGTAGTGCCGTATTTTTGAAATAAAAAAAGTATCCAAGTTGTTTTTAATGCGTTTCAATGCACGTATGTGATACACCGAGATTCTCTAGGATCTCACTAGCAAATCTATGACGATTTTTGTTGATAACCTCTTCGATTTGGTCATGTTTAATTTTATTTGATCCGGCATCGGGATTGTCCGTATTTCAGTGAAAAATCTATCGTCCGAAATTTCGCGAACCGATTTTCATACTTGCTTTAAGGCTTCGGCACCGTATACAGCACATAATTTTTGTTTTTTAATTTTGTGTGCTCGTGAAGAATTTTTCCTTTTACGAAAATAACAAAACGAGGATATGTCCAAAATGAGCACTTTCAGCATCGATTTCAAACATGATTTTAATACTAAATTAAACATTTGATAACCAAAATGTTTGTATGGAATTATGAAAGAGGTATTATAGGTCAAATAACAATAAGAGGATCAAATTTTCTTATAAAGATAAAATTGCTATTAAAATCACATACTCGTAAAATCCTCAATTATTTAGTTACCAACCGATAATTATTTAAATAATTAAATATAATAAATTAAATAATTATTATAATTATTCATACGTCTAGCCGATGCATTCTTTACTTCCACCTAGTTATTTACTGATATTTAAGAGGCTATAATAGATTCTTTTTTTTTTTTTGTCTAAAATCCTACAATAATATTTGTATTTTTCTTCTTAGTTTCAGCCCTCATTAGTTTAATCTTAAATCAAATTAAGAGAGACTAATTTTGGGAACATTGCTTCGAAAAAAAAAGGAAACACTATTTGTATTTAAGCTGTGTATTTAAGTGAGATTGTTTCATTGTCGAGAGCTGTAGGCGATAGTCGATACTGTTCTGAGAGTTATCGCGTAAACAGAAACTTAAACTTTCATCTTCTGAGAGCACTCTCACGTGTCCGCTAACGTTTCCCTAATTTTAAAGAGCAAATAATACAACTCATTGAGTTGTATTTTCAACATTGGATAACATGGAATGTAAAATGTACTTTTTCTCATTACCGATATTAAATTATAATTGTATTTGAAGAAAAATAGCTTAAATTCAAAAATTAATACATTTTATTTTAATCTACGAAAACGTAGTAGGAAATTTATATGTACCAATAATAATTTTACTGTTGTTGAAAGTGTGTGGTTTTCAGCCATCATACAAAACATGGTAGAAAATACCAACTAGGTTTACATCTTAAATTGTCTATGATAATTGTTGAACTCACCATGTATGCCTCAGATAAGAAGAAAAATCGAGTAAATGGCATTAAATATGCTGGAGAATACACCCTATGTATCACTTTCTGTACCAACGGCTCCACTGGAGTGATCACCTGGAGTAGTAGGACGGTTCCAAATCCAGCGTTCACTTTGAGTACCACGTAGCCTGGACCTGTCTGCCAACATTAAGTAATAATCGAATTGTACAATTAATTAAACATTTTAATAATCAACCTTCAATTACTAGTTAGGTATAGAAAAAACCGAGATAATTATAGGACGTATATTCATGAAACGTATTATACATAGCGTATATCTTGTGTTTGTAATTTTCGAAAAGATACTGGCGAAAAACAGTAATAATAATTTAATAATTTGGAGGAAGGAGATAGTCATAAAGAGATTAAAATACTGAAAAATCTGTTTTATGTAAAGCCAACGTTTCGACCCAACTTTACAGATCTTCTTAAGGGCTAGACCGAACAAGATACAAAAGGATAAAGAAAATTTTGGAAGTTACATAATCAGTTATAACTGAAACTCCATGCTGCATGCACCCGTAAGTCTCTATTTTTATTCTTTTATTTTATTTTTTATTTTTCTTCATATCCCTTTATGTCCATTATTTCATATTATTTTTCCATTTTCTTTCAATATCTCCTTGACATCTATAGGAGTATTAATAATTACGTCCATTATACATCCTCCTTATTACATTCAATTATTCCCTATCTACAATATTTTTTACCATCTATTTACTTCAGTTTAGGATCTTGTTACTTAGCTTACTCTGTTTATATAGTTTATTGTTCTTAATATTTCAATGTACTTACTGTTTATAATTTAATTAAGTTTATTCACCTTGTTTATAATTCTTATCTAAATGCTATGTAACTTTTAAAATTTTCTATATCCTTTTGTATCTTATTCGCTCTAGACCTGCAAAGTAGGGTCGAAACGTTGGCTTTAAATAAAATAGTTTTTCCACTTTTTTAGTCTCTTTATGACTGCCACCCCAGATCATCTCCTTCCTCTAAAATATACAACGGTCAATCATTAAGTATCCAATAATTTAATAATTATTTGAATTTTTGAAAATAATGAATCTTATCATTTATAAGTGGTTATTATTTATTGGTGAGCGAACAAGTATTCTGTAATTATTTTATTTTATATGTTTGTTTGTTGTTCTGTAGCGCAAAAATAAATGTTAAAACAACCGTATGTTAAAGAGTGCTTGATGTTTCAAAACAAACGATAATCTCGATGATCTTGAATAATCGAAACTAAAGAATGTTTCTAAAATGAGAACGGCATATGAAAAAAAGTAATAAAAAAGCTAAGATAATAATAAAAAGAAATTCAAAAATGTTTTGTGTGAGGAAATAGCTACCGGCAGGTTTAAAAAATAATTATCTTTATAGTGGCAAGAATGACCAAAAGGCAGAAAAATAGGAGAAGGGAAGAATGAAAATGAATATAAGGAACGTTTAAAATAGATTGAAATGGATTATTCAATTGGTATTAATTATATCCTCTCTTGAATGGATATATTTTACTCTATTGATAGTAAAATGTGCATTTTTTTTATTTGCAATTCAACTTTGTGTACCTACTATTTTTCGCTTAGCGTAAATTTCAATTCTTAAATATTGGTGATAATCAGAAATTTCAAGGAAAAAATATCACTCAAAATTACCTAAGGTTTGACAAAATTTTCATTTCCCTTGCAGTACAGATTAAACTCAACATGGTAAATATATAAAATAAATAATTGATAATATGGTGTAGATCATATCACCTGTTTCAAATGCTTGAGGCGATTTCCTTATAGATATTTATTTTTTATATATACCAGTAATTTTGTATTTTTCATCATTCAGATATTGATAGAATGAAAACCATTATTTATTTTACAAATTCATTCATAAATATAATAAATGTTTTTAATCCACTTATTTAAATTATTTTTAAATATGATTTCAAAACAACTCAAAAAGGTTTGACACCTCGTTTACCTGATAAGCGCTTATACGGCATTTTGCAATTTTAATTTTTCCGAACAGATCAATATGGTGGTCTATTATCGATGTGGCTGTGTGCTGCTTCCCGTTTTCGTTACAAGGTTCCCATACTGCTTGCCATTTGTGCCGAAAAAATTTTAACATTGTCTTTTCTTGGTAGCGGAGATCTCCACCGTTCATGGCAGCAGCTTCGTGGATTGCGGCGAAATGTGTCATGTCACTTCCGTTTTCAGGTACATCCTAATAAAAAAAAAAGAAAAAAGAAAAATTGTAATTAGTTTTATTGCTGAAAGTATGTTCTTGATAAAGGCACAACATGAATATTGTAAAAGTAATAATTCTTAAAAATGCTTAAATGAGGTGTAGATGCAAATTTAGATCCAGGAAATATGTAAAAATCAAATATGTAAAATAATTATTTTTTTTTTACTTTGAAAGCATAAGATTCGGATACATATCGACAGCCACTTATGATCATAGCTCTAAGTTATCAAGTCATAGTGTTTCAAATCATGATCATTTAAGATCATGCTTTTTCAAATCTGACTTCTACATCATCTCAGATCAAGTGAGCTGAAATCAAATTTAATTTTCCAATTTCTATGGTATATCGAATCCGTTGGCTAAAGTTTGAGCAAACTAAATACTTTTTTTGAACCATTTTATATCATGTTAAATTTTATGAGTCACATTTATGAATTATTCTCACAAATCAATGCACTAATTAATAATCAATTCATATAATTTTCAATAACGCCGTACTCAAGAAAATAATAGATTACGGTGTTAGATAAATTCAATGGTGTTAAATAAATCACACTTACTTTACGAAGGTTTAATCGATGGTAGAAAAAGCTTTAGTTTGAATTTTTTTTTTTTTTATTTCTTAATGACATTTACAACTGTATTACATAAATACATCTAGTAAATTTGGACATAATAGATATAATGACATGAATAAACTTGCTGAGTAACTACCCAATGGTAGCACTCTAATGATATGACTACATTAGGAGATCACGAGGCCATCTTCTTTTCAGACGCCTCCGGGGATTATCAGGAATCGAAGAGGAAGCAAGGTTAGAAACGAGAGGGTTGGGATGATTCTGAAGTTTATCATGGAAGGATAGGTATCTGGATTGGGCCAGATCTGAAACATAAGGAACCTTTATTTTATCAGTGACAAAGTAAGGAGCATTGAGGATTTTACGAAGGATTTTGGATTGTAAAGATTGGATGCGAGAGGAATTCGATGGTTTAGTGGAGCCCCATAGCTCAACTCCGTAAGTCCAAATAAGTCTTATTATAGTCAAGTATATGAGTCTTTTGTAATTAATGGGAAGTTTAGAGCGTTTGTCTAGTAAGGGCTGAAGTAATCGGAAACGTCGAGCGGTTTCTTGTCGTTTCAGTCTAGTATGAGGATTCCAAGTTAGTCGCTTGTCCAGGTGGAATCCTAGGTATCGGATTTGCTCGACAGGGATAAGTGGAGTATTGTTAAAGGAAACTGTAGGACAGGCAGTCGTTGGTTTAAGACGAAGGAGTTTCAATTTAGTTAAATAAAATGTACTAAATACTTAAGAAAAAAAATCTTAATCCCTTGTGGTTCTGATAATATTGCTGAATGCTCCTTTATTGCATATAAAAATAATGAATTCATATAAATAATTTTACCTTACCATCTAATTATGAATAATACCTACTTGTATATGACACTTAATTTGGAACTGATTCCTTCCGAAGTATGTGAGCTTGTTATGATTTATTTCTTTGATTTCCTCCGGGAACCAGTTTGGTTCCTCTCCTTCAGCGTGGTACCACACGAAGATGAAACCATTTGTCTCGACCGTATTCCACGATCTCACTTTTGCTGTTTTCGGAACTGTGAATAAATCCACCAAGCGAATTAAACTACGAAAAAAAATGTTAATATTCATATCAATATAAAAACCTAAAGCAATTATGTCATAATACTACGAAATACAAAACTTACTAGCTTGGTTTGACAAGATTCTAACAAGTCTAAACTCAATATAAAGAAAAACGAATTTAACATTTTTATCCACTGGCCTTTAGTACCAGTAACGTGGTACGAGAGTAGCGCTGGGATCTCCTGAGGTCTGAATTCCTGCATTTGTCTCCATAGGTGATGGAACAATCCTCGTTTTTAGTTCCCTTGGCTAATTGTAAATAGCATATATAGGTATGTCTGTGTTTAAGGTGACTTTAATTATATTTAAATTTATTTTATGTACCTTTTGTTTTTAATATTAATAATTAGTTATTATTTTGCTTTTATTTTATTTTATTTATATACATTTCCTCTAAATATGGCATGAATGAACTATTGCCTCACTATAACTACTGCCCTTAATGTGACAGAATGTTATATTAAATCAATAAAACAGTTTAAAAAAAAATCTAAATAAATAAATATTTCATTGTTCAACAATATACAATCACTTGAATTATAATAAGTATAATAAAAAACAAGTGATTTCTTGATAGCGAATTCTATATTCTCTATATTATTGGGGAAAATGAGTCATCTGTTATAAATGAAAGAAGAGCCAGTAACCTTCTCCTATTTATATAACTTTATTATTACATTCACTGTTGTTGCATCATTATTAGAAACATTTTGAAGTTTTGATAATCTATTGTATTTCATTAATTTTTTAATTAAAATGACTATAATAATTATTTTTTGATTTATTATGTAGAACCATACAAAAAAAGATTTACAAACATACATTTATCCATTGTTTTTTTTTAGCTTTATAATAGCCTATTTTAATAAGGAATATGTAAAATATACAATAAAAAGAGAAATAAGGTAACTAAGATTATGTATTCTATATATATAAAAAAAAAACAATAAGTACATAAAAAAGGAAAGAAATATTTTTTTCTAGTAATTTCTGCTTACTGCAATAAACGTTTTTATTATTTATGCTAAAATTATACTAATTTTAATTTTATTTGGATTTCTTAACCAGATGTTTTCTCGTGTCTGCTCGACATATTTTTGGATTAGCAGAAATATTGAAATGTTTGTAACAAACTTATTTCTTCCTGTGACAAAAGGAAATAAGAGTTTCGTCCATATAATGATTGTTATCTCATAGCAAGGCATCCTTATTTCCCAGATCTCTACAGAAAGAGTTGCTCGGTAATCAATTTATAACCTATTATATCGCGTAATTATTAACTATAATTTCATTCAACTTTTTGTAACTTATTTTTAAGTAAATGCGAAGTATTAGAGAGGATAGCCCCTGACCTCTCCCCCCCACAAATCCTAAAATATTGGGAGGTAGAAAAGTTCCTTCTCCTTCCCCTCCTCCCGGTCCCGGCACCAACTTGACCCAAAAACTTGACCCATTTAGAAATGAATAAACTTGTGCTTACAACATTTAAATCAATAAAAATAAAACATGACCGAAATCTTTTCATTCTATTTTGTCAAAATAAAATCCTAACTCATTCCCAATACCCATCTAACAGCAAAAATGCTGAATACTGAAACCTAATATTTACTCAATATTACTGAAGATAACTGGAATAAAAATATACGATATCGCTCCGACACTTGCGTGTAGTATTTTTGATTGGAAAATGATATGTAAAACGCGATAAGACTCTCGAGATAGTATCTCCTGGTTCTTATGAAAAAAAAGAGATATTTTTAGCACAACAATTAGCATGCGTAAATTATAGTAAGTGACAGGGAAGCTGTACAACCCCAGAGGGAACCGGAATGGATGAATGAAGATCTGGGTATTGTCCACGATGAAGAATGGCAGCATTTCAATCGAGCTATGTGGAAAGTTTAATTTAGATATGGTTCAGGATAGATCGAAGGAATCCTAAACATTCCGAAATAGGATAATATAAATTTTGTGACTTTGTGGAGCCTTGTTATTTTAAACCTTTCGAAGGGCATCTTCACCTGAACCTGGTCTAATGGCATTATGTGATAAATGTGATTAAGGGCCATGAATGATCACATCCACAGTCGTAGACGGGACTTGATATTTTTTGGCACGAGGAGTGTTCAATCTTCATCCTTGCAGGTGGTTATTATTCGTCATTCTAGATCCTTTTCTTCATTCTATGCAGTCTCTCCTCATGTCACCATACATCGGAGTTGACTGTCTCGCTGACTCTTTTATGTTGCAGTATTTTTAAGCAGGCTTCATTTTCCTCGTATGAAGATAGCCTTCTTTCCATTGTTGCTCAATGTCATTTCAGTGTTACACAGCCACGTATTTCTGATCGAATGCTATAATTTTGGCAGTTTCATATATTGCAATATTATTTATAATTTAAATGCTATAATAGGAAAAGCACATGTTTTAAATAATTATTTATTAAATAATTGACATGTACATTTTCTCTTACATAATATGGTTATCTGATTATACACAATAATATTCATTAATGTTTAAATATTCGTCTTTAAACATTTAATATTACCAAATACGTTGCATAAAATATTATAGAATTCGTAAATACCCTTACTAGTGAAAATAAAAGATTTTTTTTTTTTACTTTTATCCGTGTAGGGGATGGATGTACATAGGCCAGTTGCACCGTTGAATTTCCATAGGTGAAAAGGGCACTGTATACAATCTCCAACCACCTTCCCGCCGACGGCCATATTAGCTCCTAAATGAGGACAATATGCATCTAATATCCTGGATACTCCATTGCTCGAACGGAAAACTGCGAAGTTCTCTCCTGTAATGACAATAATACAGATTTATTTATTAAATTAGACATTCTGGGAAAGAAAATTTAGTTAATTTATTTGAGAAATGAAGCCAGTGTAACATGAGATTGGCGTTTTCTCATAAAGTAATTGAAACAGCTCTTCTTACAGAGGAGTGAATAATTAATAGGAAATAAACGTTACAACTCTATTCAGCGGATCTCGACCCTCTTGTTCATTATATCTTAAGATTTACCTTAGTGACACAAAAGTAAAGGTGTGAGAGGCAAAAGATTCCCTGTATACCGGGGAAGACACTTAGTTGACAGCAGTTTATATTGGATATTAATTCCCAAAAAGAAAGTTCCTACTATGGATTTAAAAAAAAAAACTTTTAGATACATAGAATAATACTACGATGAAATATGAGAATCTGCTAGAACTAATTAAAGCTTAGTATGGAATAAGACACCTTTTTTTGCAGCAGGCTCCCGGACTAAAAGTCAACCTTAGAAGTAATAGGCTACAAGCGGATTCAAGAGTGAAGCTCTCTCAATTTGGTTTTTTATATTGGTCCATATTTGTTTTTATGGGTGATCAAAGCCAAATACATAATCGAACTCAATATGTTCTCTTTTTAAAATTATAACGCATCTACTTCAGCTATAATTCAACTATAACACTTCTGGGCAGTAACTTTCGAAATATATTTGAATCATTCACATATAATAAATTATTCACTTAGTAAATTAACGTTTCAACAACTTTATTGCTTACGACACCATATATGCCACAATAAATTAAGATTATATTTCTATTTAGGTGCAATTATTGTCAACTTACTGATAAATAAATAAGGTGATCACAAAACAACTCTTGAAAAAATACGATGTACAGCGGTCGAAAAAGGCATAAAACGGCAAGAAATCTCAAAATTTTTAATTTGGGAAAAAATATCTGAAAATCTGAATGTTTTATAGCATGTCGGACCTTCTTAATTGACTTTAAATAAAACAATTTTGGTAAGAACAACCATATTTATTATTGTTAATTTTTTTAAGATGTAAAAATGAAAATTTATTGTATAAACTTATTTACTGAATCAATTATAACCACCTATTACCTATATTAATATCAGAAGAACATAGAGAGACTCGAAAAAAAACTGGTAACACAGGAGTGCCCCCCCCCCCCAAGGTCAATGGCGCAAGAACCTAGAAGATGATAATCATACGATTAACTGTCGAATTGTTACCCATTTTATGATCTCCTGTAAATAGATCAAGAGTTCTATTTAAGCTAATTTGTGATTCCTCTACTTTGTGATGTACGTGCGACTGGGTAAGATGTTCACATATTGTCAAATATGATCATATAGAAACTAATATTTACCAGATAGGCTTAAATAGAATCAGGATATGTTTTAAATTTTGATTTAATAAATGTATACCTAAAGCAGCGACGTGTAGAATTTGGCCTTTTTTCAGAGAATCTGACTCAGCAATAGCAAACCAACCATTAGGATAGACGGGTGGTATCTTCCCGATCACTCTTGTTTTAAGGTTTCTATGTCCTTCTAACCATCCGACATCGCAAAGTCCCTGTGAAAAATCGTAAATTATAATTTAAGAATATACAGGGTGTGTCAGTCATCTATAAAGAATTATTTATTTAGATGGGCTAGTAGAGATCATAAGTAGCGCGATGTGGTCTTCTAACAATATTTATTGCTTGCAGGAGAGATAGCACATTTAGGGGGTCACCCAGTTTCGCTCTTGCTAAAAACCATGACTTCCGTGGGGCATCGGTTAGCTACCCTCAATTCCATAACTATAACCCCTTTTGGGCCCAATTCGACAGTGTCCTTGCCACAGACTTACTCAGGTTCAAGGACTTTGAGAAATTGGTCTAGATTCACAAATTATGACTATTCCGGAGCAGCAGGCACACGGTTACACTTCTTTCCTTAAAGAAGGCCGTCCATGACAAACCTCTTGGCAGCTACTGAAAACTATAACGCAAATGGGGGTCACGATCAAGGCAAATGGGGTAGTGCAATCAGTCCTACGCCCGGGCAATGTGAGTTGTCTTAAGTATATAAAATGTCAGATGAATAAACCCAAACTAATTTATTTGTGTGCCAACGTTCTGTACGTTGGGATATATATATATGTGTGTGTGTGTGTGTGTGTGTAAATGCCATTATTAATTTAACAACAATTTAATTTATAAATCAAATTATTTACAAATTAAATTATTATAAATATTTACAATAATAATGAATAGCTGAAACAAATTTATTAAAGAAATCTTTCCATGAGCTTGAAGATAGGCCATCCTTCAGACAGTATAGGTCTAGACTTCCCCAGGTGACCATGCTATTGGGGAACCGAGTTCGCAATATGGATCCATTTCTCTTTCCAGGCATCTTTGTCTCTTGCCAATCCCTACCACTGTTGTCCAGCCATCTTCGTAAACAAATCGCTCCCCACCTTTTAATATGTCTTCCTCTACGCCTTTCATAACATTAGATTGTCCAAACAGTCACCTCCATTGACCACCATCTTTTATCAGTTCTTCTTAAAATGGGCACTGTCCACTCCCACTTTTTTCATCTTGATATGGTGGATTATTCCTTCGGACCAGTCTTCTCTCTGATGACACAATTCCTAATCTTCTCTTTTTTCTTTATTTTAGTCATGCTTCTTACCACTGATTATTGATAGCTTATCAGTTTTCTTTATTGGGCTTTAGTTAATGTCCATGTTTAGCCCAGTCAAATTAGAGACGTTGGGTGCAATCTTGCAAAAGGTTGGGTGATTCAATTTTTTATATTGTTAGGTATGTAATAAATATGCAAAAGCCTTTTGGGTTCGCTACAGGGTTCCAAAAAATATTGAAATTTCAAACTTTTTTTGGTTTACACTGAATATCTCCTTTTTAGAGCGACATAGATAAAAATGGTGATATTCACTCCCAAGTAGATTAAAATTATTTAACATTTTTGTACATAACAATTTTATCTAAACCCAACAAGAAGCGAACTATCGAGCTTTCAAAATTTACCCATTTCAATTTCTCCACAATAGTGCTCTTTCAGTATTGAACCGAAGAATTCTGTAATTCCATTTTGAACCTCGTCCAGAGAAGTTGTAGGTTTTCCTTTAAGATAATGAGCCATTGACTGGAACGGAAGACGGTAGTCGGAAGGTGTTTTGAGAAGTATGTTAAGTTACACGATGGGCCAGACTCACATAACGTTCACCCGCCCCTCACAACCCAATAAATTGCGTACAGTTGTGTCCCTTGTATCTATTTATTTAAAAAATCTAATGTTCCCACAAAAAAAAGTGGTCACACTGTACCAAAATGGCGTCCAAACATGGCAGATTGACGCCTTGACCTTCAGTTAGTTTTTCGGTCACTGAAATTCAGCATTTTGCTTAATTTCGTCATAATTGGCCTTTTATTAAAGCTATATGTTTAGGAAATAATAAAAAATGAAAAAATATTAAAAAATAATTGCCCTTGGAAATAAAAAACACTAGTAAAGTTAATTGTTTCAAGGCGTTCAAACTAAACTTGAAAATCAAACGTCGTTTGTAAATAAACGACCAACAATAACGAAAAAATCTCCGAAACAAAACATCTGGAGAATACATTTCTCTTTCTAAAACACTGATTACTTTTTAAAATATTTGAAGCAGTTATATAAGGTACATACCTCTGCCACATCACTCATAAATGGCATAGTTATATATAGTTACGTTTGTAGTACATTATTTTGATTGTATTAATGGGCAAACATTAATACAATAATTTTATAGTCCAAAAAATTTTTTTGTGAAGAAATCGAACAGTCTTGAGATGGTAACAACACAGAGGTATGTAATTTGGATAATATTAACTATAACAAAATGTGTTAGAATAAAGTTCATTCAACAGTAACAAGAAAACCAGTAATTGTTGATGACAAATTTCATTGAAATAGGTGGAAAACAGTAAAGATAAAATTATAATTTTTTTTTTAAATTTCAAAACATTGATTTGTTTTTAGCGAATTATATTTAAGTTGTTAAGTTTAGAAAAATATGTTTCCCATAAAATCTATATTAAATTGTGTGTGCTTTAATACTGAATGTAAAAATATGAGTTACGTCACCTATGAAAACAAATAATTAATTAAAAACAAAAAAGTATGCATGCTTTTGGGAATTTTCAAAACAAACATTTTGAAAGCTCGATAGTTTACTTGCTATTGGGTTTAGAAAAACGGGTTAGATAATTTTAAGCTATTTAAGATTGAATATAACTATTTTTTTATCTATGGCGCTTTAAAAAGGAGATATTTAGCGTAAACCAAAAAAAGTTTGTAATTTCAATGGTTTTGGGAACACTGCAACGAACCCACAAGGCTTCCAATGGCGGAAACTTGGATTTTTTGTACCTAATAATATAAAAAATAAATTTGAATTACCCGACCTTTTGCAGGCTAGGTCCCTTTTTACTTTCACTTACGTATATATGTAATATATAGTAAGGGTAAGTATTGCGATCATAGTATAAGTTTAACTCAAAAAGTATACAATTTTTTTTGGATGTTGTGATAAGATGTTTCAAAGGTATTTAAATTTCCTAAAAAAATGCGTTAAAATCGGACAATTAGGAGGAAAGATATGGTCTATAGTTTTTTCCCCTGAAGAGGCGAAAATTTGTATAAATTTAAAATATACTTTTTTAATTGTTGAGACTAAAAGAACTTTTTTTCTACAGATATTTAATAAAGTATCTTACCTCAGAACATCTTTCATAAGAAATAAGTATCTAAATTTATACCTTTATTCTCAGTTCTATATTTCAACACTACAATCACCACCTCCGGAATCAACTTACTCACTGTCTGCATAGACAATTTTTTCAACTAAAAATATTACTAAATTGACATTACTCAAAAATGATAAAATTGGAGTTAGTCATTCTCTGGTTTATAAAAGCAAAAAAAGTTGTGTGGCTTATAAAAGCAGATGGAGTGACTGGATTTTTATTGCCTACCGTCGATATATTAAGTAGACATTTTGTAATTGTAATGGTCTTAATGACTTGTTATCTGTAAGCTTTAAGCTTTAGCTCCGTTTAAAATGCACTTAAAATTTTATAATAGCCCAGCATTGCCAGAAAATAATTTCTATTCAAAGTAGAGCGGTAAGTGAAAGATTTATATTTTTTCTGTTAATTTGATTGGACCAGTTTGAATGCCAAAGGAAACTGAAGAAAGTATACAAGTGTCCATGATGTTTTTCTTTACCTCTTTAGCTAGATCATTTTTCATTACTGTTTTTAAAAACCTGTACTTTCTCCATCCTAATGATGTTCTATCCATTTCCTTCCAGGATTTGCTTGCAAATGAGACCAACTGTCATAGGTATATATAGTCCTCCACATAACCTACATGTTGATTTCCAACTTTGATATTCACCTTTTCAGCGTCATTAGTTTTGTTTCATCAAAGTTAGGTGGGAGCTCTACTTCTCTACACATCTCCACCAAAGTTTTTATCACCATTGTGAGATCTTCTCAGTGCTCCTTAACAAAAGAATGTCATCTACAAATCGAAGGCAGTTTAACCACCTTCCACTGATCTTGATGCCTACGTCCTTACAAAATAATGTTTCCAGCACTAAGATGAACAGTATAGGGGATCTCCGTGGCGCACTCCTCTCATGACAGCAAAGTTTGGGACATTCCGTTCAGCAGCAATGAATGCTTCCGTATCTTTGTACAGCTTCATTACTATGCGAATATATTTTGACTCTATACCTATTGCTTGTATAGCCTCACAGATACTTACATGGAAGATGCTATCGAATCAAATATTGTGTTTTGTCGATTTCCAAAAATCGACAAAACACAAATAAGTAAGAAACCTATATTCCTTCGGTTTTTAAATGATCTGATTAATAATCTGAATGTGATCACAGAATAACCTTTCCTGAATCCAGCTGGATCCTCATTTATGAATTCCATTATTCTCCCAGTTAGATGTTCATTAAGAATAGAGGCAAAAAAAAATCGAGCAGAGAGATGTAGGTCTCTAATTGTCAATCATATTTCTGCTGTCCTTTTTATGAAGTAAATGATCTTGGCTGTCTTCCATTGGCAGAGTATTTCTTCTCGCGATAACACAGAGCTAAAAAGATTTTTCAAATGTACTATCAAAATTGGACCACCTATTTTTAATATATCACTCCTTATTCCGTCAGGACCATGATTTTTATTCCTCTCCAGGATATCCTCTTTGATATTTGCCTTTAGTAATTCAGGTACTAAGTTAACTTTCTCCACAATCGTATACATTCTTGAAGTAGCTCGTAGCTGGGGCTATCATCACTCCTTTATCTGTTATTTTTTTTATGATCATGACTCTCAAGAGATAGTAACTAGTTTCTGCCTAGGCTGAGTTCCTTCCTTATTTGTTTGGTAGAGCTATTGTTAGAGAATATTTCGTCAATAAATTCATATCTATATTTGAGTAAGTATTCTTTAATCTTCTTTATTATTTCTCTATTTAGACAAGTTATAAGTATTGGATCCGCTTCAGGGTCTAATTTGACTTCTCCTCTTTCCTCTCGTAACTTTAGAGTAGTTTAAATTTATTGCTTCTATAGAGTTTTGCACACTGTCCTTCTTTGTGAAGAAATTTTGCAGAACATTTATTAAATTGTCATAGTTCGACTGTATGTTCTTTCCTTTCAGCTGTCCAGGAAATCGTTCCGAGAGATATTTTAAATTCATATGGTCGCCTTTTTTTTAATTCTCCAGTAACAAAAACAGCTTTCAGTATCCTGTTATCTGATTTGAAATTAAAATCAGATATTACACTTACATCTCTAGTAAATTTAATTTTGTTAGTTAAAATATAATCTATTTCAAAAGTCTATCCCTTAGGCGAGTACCAAGGCCATTTGAAAGCATTACTCTTTCAAAAATAAGTATGTATTCCTAATGTGCAGTTCATAAAGCAAAGATTACAAGACGACTTTATCCATCGTTCCTTCTTCCATAAGTGTTGTCCATATGCTCTTCCTAATCTAGGCTCATTCCTACATTTCCATTAAAATCACCCATTATGAAAAATCCTGTTCTATGTCGTTTCAACCTGCCCATAAATAGTTTTAAGTCTCCGTAGAACTTGACTTTTTTTTCTTCTGGATAATCAGCTGTTGGAGCATAGACTTAAGCCAAAATAATTTTCCTGTGGATTGATATAAATTTTATAATTGTGGATTGATGGTTGACTGTATTGAATAATTGAAGAGAAAAATGGTTGGGCGATCAGTAAAAATGAATAATTATAATTATTGATTTTTACTATTTTTTTTACTGATCACCCCAACCATTCTTCTCTTCTACTACCTTTTAACTTCTCCCATCTTTAACTTAGGACTCAAGTAATTTTCAAGGCTATGACTTCTCTGCGAAGATTTGTCTCTTTTTTTAATACTTTGTGAATAGGTGTTGTAAATGCACTGTTTTTATTTTTAAATAAAAAGTGTATTTAGGCAATTATGTTTATTATAATGCATCAAATATCATGGAAAAAACGTGAAATAAAAGCTTTCGACAATTAATTGTAGTCATCTTTGCTGAAAACACGGGTACTTAGGGGTCAGGATAAGATATCACATCTTTTTTTCACACAACTTGAGATGAATCTCAATTTTTTTTACAAATAAACCTCCATTTAATTAATATGAACTAAAAGTTATATAAATGGGGTTTTTTTTCTGAAAGTTTTTCTGAAAGTGGAATGCCTATAGTATAGTTGACTCATGATAAAAAAAAATATGAATTATTTATGATTTTTTTTAAAACTTGGAAATTGCTTCACGCATAAACATTTAAACAAAATTTATTTTATTTGTCAGATTACTATCTACAAGATCCTCGGACATTTCTATGCCAGTTTTAAAAAGGTTTTTTTTTTTTTAAACAATCGCACCATTAAGCGGTGTAATTGTTCGTTTTTTTATTGGTTTTTTCTCTTCCCATTTTTTTTTTCTTTCATTCCATGTTTTTCTTTTTTTTTTAAAAACTATTGCTACCGTTGATTGGTGGTACCATATCCTTGTTACTATTTTCCGTGAAAATTCCTTTACTTCAGGTAACGTCAGAATTTTACTATTTTCTGACAAAGACAGTTTTTGATGCAGGTCAAAACCACATTTTTTATCCTTGTAAAAAATTGAACTGAGAAACATTGTACATGTTTTCTTATAAATGTAATAACCAAAGAAAAAAGAAAACATTCAATGGATTCAACGTTATTAACATAAAAATCAAAAGGTGATGCAATTTCGACTATGTGTGTGTGTGTGTGCGTGTGTGTGAGTGTGTGTTTGTGTGGTGCGTGCGTGCGTAAATGCAGTAAAACTTACCCCCTAAATTTTACATTTTTTTCAAGAGTTATTCAAAATCTTTACTACCTTTAAATAAATACGTTAAGAATTTCAAACATATATATACAAAGGCAACAAAACATCCAATTAATAACATCTTAAATAAAAAGCGTTAGACTCCTGATTTTTGTTTCTATCTTTTAAGGTACTTAATATAATTTTTTAAAATAATGTTAAATTTTTTTCATTTAATAGACATCGCTTTGATAAAACAAAATTTTTTATTTTCATATCTCTTGTAGTCAAAAAGTTGATATAAACTTGTAATTAATTATTATTTATATTACCTTGACGTAATTCATTGGTTTAATGAATAGCTTGTAGATAAGCCACCCAATGATGCAAAGGAATATTTTTTTAAACGTCAAATGATCTGTGATAAACATTATAATGTCGTAAAGTCCTGAGTTCAACAAAAAACCCTCCATGTTCTGGAAAAAAAGAAAGAAAATAATTATGAATAATGGGTTTGAACACTTACTGGATTAAAAGTATGGTCAGAAAAAAGTAATAATGAATCTCAGAAAAACAATAAGTTCAGAAATATATAAAGTTTCAAGAATAGGATGATATTTTAATGTTTTTTTAAAAATAGAGCCTCGATCAGGTCAGGGACACACCAACAGTCTCAGCACCATCCACTAGCACATATATTAAGCTACTGGTAATTATAAACTGCTTTGCTTTTTATACTGCTTTTTTATCATATAATGATTACAATATATCGACTAGCCAACTTTTATTTCACAACTTTAATTTATAAGCAGTGGAGAATGCCTCAGAAGATCGGTGCCCTCAGCAGGGCCCCTATATGTCGCATTTGCCTCGGTTGTTCGAACCTAAGGTCGGCAGTGCACTTGCGAATAGATGAAAAACTGGACCCAAAATGGTACCATAACATTCGTAAGTACCTAGCTGGGTTTAAGAAATTAGCAAAATAATAATAGAAAATATGATATTTTGCCATTTTTTGAAATAATAGTAATATTAAATAGAAAAGGAAAAGAAATTATGAAATATGGAACGTTAAATTAAAGTACAGAAAAAAAACAACAACGAAGAATTCTTGAGTTCTTGACTTTAACAATAAAGAGTAAAGACTGGTGTGGATAATGAAGTAGTGAAACAATAAGGTAGCATTATTTAGAGGATTGGAATATTGGCTTGTTTTTAATTGAAATTAATAATAATTTAAATATATACTACATCTACAATCTCTGCAATGTTAAATTAGTTTACAACTGAGATCAATGACGGCCTTAGACATTCAGCGCCCCCGGGCAATGACTTCATCTCCCCTCCCCCTAAAAAAATTCAATTAATTTATTAACCTGTTTCATACTATGCAATACTTGATTTTATTGCATTCATCGTTTATCTAATGCAGTTGCTTTATTGGTAGGCTGAAATTAATTAATTTTTATAAGTTTTGTATCTTTTTTTTTAATTCCTTACAAGTGGCGTGCGGTACCCAAGATCGGCTGAGTAAGGGAAAACTTGCAACATGGATAGATCTTTTTTTTTTTTAGAACTCCAAAAACTAGATAAACTGTTTTATTGATACCTTGTAGAGTTCCGGAGAATATTTTTACTCGGCAGAATATACATTTTCACTGTTTTTATTGAATAGCTCAATTGAAAAAAAAAAAAAAAAAAAAATAGGTTTAGCCGATGTCGCGAGATTTCCCTTACACGTTTCAACTATGCGGCGCCATTAACGGGCGTCTCTCCTTTTCTGTACCAAGGGGCAACTGCAAGGGTTGCCCCACCCCAAGGCCGGGCACTGGAGAAGATTGAAACATTTATTATTTTTATGAAACTTTGGTTAGTTCGAAGACTTTTTCCACTGACGACTTTCGATGCAATGCAAATGTCTATTATTTCCGAAGGAAAATAGACAAATAATGATTTATAAAATTTGAGAAATTGTTAGTAAATTTTTGTTTTACGTTATCCCATCCAATGTGGCAAATGGTTCTCATTTAAGAGAGCGAGAATATCGTTTCTAGCTCACCTCCTCCCTCTCCTCCCCCCAATATTTCGAAGAACAAATTAATAAAAAAATTCAAAACTAAAAATAATTAATGTACATGAATGAAACAATATATTAACTAAAATCAATTAAGAACATTAGAAAAGTCGACTAGCTGACTAAGCTAAGGCTTAGAAGTAGGTGGGCAAGTATCTTACAACGTCCTATGTTCTTATAATGGAAATTCATAATGAAAGTAATACTAATAAACGTAGAATAAAGGAGGCAATATATATATATATATATATACATATTACTAAAAACCTTAATATTCCATTTCTTCTTGATCTTATCCCAGACGAATTAAAACGGCAGTGGCCCCGTGACCTTTTGTAACATGTATATATTGGAGTTCTGGCAATGACCGGATTCTCCACTCAAGTCATGAGTGTCTGTGGTTGTAGCACCCTTACTAAGCCTCCGCTGGCTTTTAATACCAGTGAAGTAGTTGAGAAAGAAGCGCAGGGATCTCCTGAAGCCTCGCTTTTCTCTCCACAAGTGGGGGGACAAGTCTGGTTTGGGGTTCCCATGGCAGATTTTAAATAGTGTAAATAGGTAAGCCTGCGTCTAAGATGTTTATTTTTATTAATTTTTTTATTTTAAGGACATTTTAATTCTATTTTATTCATTTATTTTTATTTTATTATTACTATTATTTATGTTTTCTTGAAAATTCTGTAAATAATCATACGGACGTAGATAATTTGGATACATTTGAGTTCAATTGAAAAAATAAATATCTGAAATGAATAGCTAGTATTGTTTCAAATAGGTCCACGTAAAATAAACATAACATACAATATACACTATATATAAAGTAATTTTAAAAACTACGGAAGTAGTAATCCATTCACAATATAAGTGATAAATAAATAATACTATAATACATAAGTAAAAAAAAAAAGAAGAGAAGAATAGTTGGGGTGGTCAGTCAAAAAGGAAGGCAAAAATAAATGATAATATTTATTATATTATCATTTAATATTATTATATATCTTTATTATATTATACATTGTCTGTACATCTTGATAGACTTTACAATATTAAAATATTTTCTAACTTACTACTCCATTCTCAATGTTTTAATTTTACTATTTATTTTCATTTCTTATATAACTTCATATTTCTTTTTCATGTTTTACATTTTATTCTAAGATTCCCATTGTAACACTTTTGTCACTCCTTTTTGATTATGCCTACTTCATCATTCCACACTTTGTAACGGTTTTTATTATTTATCTCTTAGTTCTTAGTCATTATTCTAACAATCTCATTTTACTTTATATTTATCTATTTTATTTTTCTAATTTTGTTATTATATTTTTTTATTTTTTATTATCTTTTTTACCATCATTACTTATGTTTCTCATACCTTGTTATCTGGTTATTTTCTTAGCCCTGATGAAGGTCGAAACGTCGGCATATGTAAAAAATAAATATTATAATTTATTTTTGCCTTCCTTTTTGACTGACCACCCCAACTATTCTTCTCTTCATTATCCACGACACTCAACCATTTACCAATTATTTTAAATTAGAATGTTTTACCCGTGCCAATATTAATGTAATATGCTGTAATATACCAATTATAAAATAAAAAAAAAAAAAAAAAAAAAAAAAAAAAAAAAAAAAAAAAAAAAAAAAAAAAAAAAAAAACGTAAATTATGGTAACAATAACAACATCGTTACAAGTGTCCGTTCGAAAATACATACACCATATAAACAAGGCAAATAATCATTGAGTATTTGTAATTACTGTAATTCATGTGGAAACCTTTAAGGACACTCATGGTAATGGCGTTCATCGATCCCTTGGGGATGAGCAACATATCCATGTCTTGGAAAGAACCTCGGCACCATATTCCTCTCCTAGTTACTGTTAGCGGGAGTACTTTCATATCCACTGCTGGTACTCCCAGTGTAAGCCCGATCGCCATCATACAATGTAGGTCTTTATATTTATTGGCTTTAACATTGTTCCAGCGGTTATCTCCAACGATCTGTGCATCTATATAATAATTTCTTTAAGAACTTCCTACATAAATTATATCAATTTTGGGAACATCAGTTTACTTTAAACTTTAAACATATGCTTATATTTCAAACGTATGTAATTATTATTAAAATAAGATGAGATGCAATGTACTTGTAGGTGACTTACAGGAAAAAGTGTACCTGTTATCCTTTCCTGCTTCTTCCAATAGGAGAAGTTGTTAACTGCAGTAACGCTATCTCTAACAACCATTAGCACGTTAATTTAACGTTTTCCTCATTTCTTAGCGTACTTATTGGTTATTAAGAAATCAATGGAATGTGAAAGATTTTTTTTTTTTAATTAATACTCTAGAAAGTTTCATTAAAATAGTTTTACAATGTTGCATGCATAGTCCTCTGTAATATGTAATAATGAATTGTACAGTAATTAAAAACGAAAAATAATGATGAAAAAATACTCATCAATACAAGATAAATATGACAATAACACCAGATATTAATATTTTTTAAGACAAAATGAGAAAAAGGAGTGGGGAGCTTGGTTTTGGCGCACCTTCAAGCCTTTCCCAATAAATGTTAACATTTTATAACAATATTTTAGGTAATATAATTTGAAATAAATATCATCTTCTCGTAACATTAACTTCTTTTATTGACTGAATTAAGGCCAAAACAACCAAGCATAAAAAAGTATATCTTTTTTCTAAAGACAGAACCAAATCCTCTAGCCCAATCCCTATCTAGTTCCACTCATCCCTACAACCCTATTCGAAGGTTGAAGCGGCAGTGGCCCAGAGATCTTTTATAGTATTTATTTTGGAGTTCTGGCAATTCTGGCCAGATTCTCCACTCAAGACATGAGTGTATGTGGCTAAAGCGCTCTCGCTCAAACTCCACCGGCTTTAGCACCAGTGAGGCGGTTGAGAGAGTAGCGCAGGGATTTGGGTTCCGCCTGATTGTATATATTGTATATAGGTATGACTGTATTTGTATGTTTTTAATTTACTTATATTTAGGTTATTTTATTTTTTTATTGTATACAGTTTTTATTTATTATTATTTAGTTATTATTTTACTTTTGTTAATTTTTTTTTTAGTATATACGGTGTGAATGTGTTCATTTATTAATATATTTATTGACCCCGTGACAGAACATACGTCAAAAAAAAAAAAAAAAAAAAAACTTAAAAAGATATAAAAACGATTTTACTTAAAATGTGCTGCCCCTTTTGTCACCCGGGGCAAGTGCCCCTTTATCCTGTCCCCCCCTTATTTCGTCCTTGCTAATTCGTCGAAAATGTCAATAACACATTACTACTGACCTGTGTAAATTGTATGCATCAAAATTTCCGTAGCAAAGATCTTTATTATTCATTAGAAGCACAATTAATAGCGGGCGTTTTC